CCTGGGTGGCGCAGTCGGTTAAGCGTCCGACTTCAGCCAGGTCACGATCTCGTGGTCCGTGAGTTCGAGCCCCGCGTCAGGCTCTGGGCTGATGGCTCGGAGCCTGGAGCCTGTTTCCGATTCTGTGTCTCCCTCTCTCTCTGCCCCTCCCCCGTTCATGCTCTGTCTCTCTCTGTCCCAAAAATAAATAAAAAACGTTGAAAAAAAAATTTTTAAATAAATATACAGGTGCATATATGTTTTCAAATTAGTGTGGTTTTTTTTTTCTTCTTCAAGTAAATACCCAGTATTGGAATTACTGGACCATATGGTAGTTCTGTTTTCAGTCTTTTGAGGAACTCCCTTCTGTTTTCCATAGTGGTTGCACCAAGTTACATTCCCATCAACAGTGCACAAGGGTTCCTTTTTCTCCACATCCTTGCCATCACTTGTTATTTCTTGTCTTTTTATTCTAACCATTCTGACACATGTAAGATGATATCTCATTTTGGTTTGGATTCACATTTCCCCCTCATGATTAATGATGTTGACATCTTTTCATGTCTGTTGGCCATGTGTATGTCTATGTGTGTGTGTCTATTTACTTTTCCAATCATTTTTTAATTGGATTGTTTTTTGGGGTGTTGAGTTGTATAAGTTTTTTATATATTTTGGATATTAACCTCTTATTGGATGTATCATTTCAAATATCTTCTCCCATTCAATAGGTTGCCTTTTTGTTTTGTTGATGATCTCCTTTGCCATGCAAAAGTTTATTTTGGTGTAGTCACGATAGTTTATTTTTGCTTTTGTTTTCCTTGCCTAAGGAGACATATCTAGAAAAAAGTTGGAAAAGTCAATGTCAAAGAAATTGACTGTGTTTTCTTCTATGAATTTTATGGTGTCAAGTCTCTAGCTTAGGTTTTTAATCTGTTTTGAGGGGTTTTTTTTGTGTATGGTGTGAGAAAGTGATTCGATTTCATTACTTTGCATGTAGCTGTCTAGTCTCATTGATTTTTTTGTCTGTATTGGTATCAGTAGCCCACTGCCTTAATTACAGTGGCTTTATAATATTTTTGCTATGTAGTAATCTAAATTCTCTAGCTTAGCCTTTTTTCAAGATTGCCATTTTGGCCATGTTAAGTCCTTTCCATTTTTGCATAATTTGTATGGAATCAGCCTGCTCATTTTCTCTTTCTGTCTCTCTCTCATAGACACACACACACACACACACACACACACACACACACACACACACACTTGCTGGAATTTGATGTTAACATTGATTATATTTGAAAAGATTTGAGATCTCAATTGTACTGGCTCTTTCAGTCCATGAACATGGTATAACCCTCCATTTATCTTAGCAACGTTTTATAGTTTTCAGTGTAGAGATACTTTTCTTTCTTTTTTTTTTTTAATTCCTAGGTAAAAACTTTTTGGTGCTATTTTAAATGCTATTTATTTATTTATTTAATTTTCCAATTGTTAGCAAGAGAATATTGATAAAGACTATCCAATATTTAGAGGTTCAACAGAGGAGTGGCCATTTAGTGGCCTGAGAAGGAGGAGCCAGTGAGTCAAAGGGAAGATAAAAGGAAAGATAGTTTCAAAACTGGGGAAGTGATTGGGGCGCTGGCTGGCTCAGTCAATAGAGCATGCAACTCTTGATCTCAGGGTTGTGAGTTCAAGCCCTACACTGGGTACAGAGATTATTTAAAAATAAAATCTTAAAAAAAAAGAAGTAGGGAAGTGATTAAGTGATCAAATGTGTAGAATGCAGCTACCATGTAGAGTAAAATGAGGACAGAAATGTGACCAATTAGATTTAGACAAACTTTTTTCCCAATGTTTTGCTCTAAATGAATACTAAAAATTTTAGCAGTTAGCCATTAGGGATAGGTAGGCCCAGGAGACCATTTTTTTTTAAGGTAGATACTAGATAATGTTTATATGCTAATCAAAATGATTCATTCCAGAGGGGGAAATCGCTAATGCAGGGGATTATACAAAAGTTTAGTCCTTAGGGGGGATGAGACAGAGGGCAATTATCTGAGAGCTAAATACTTAAAAATGGGATTAATATCCTAAATCCAGACCTAGCCTCAGGACATACACTTCGAATTAATGACATAAGACTTAAAGTTTGCTCATAGTATGTATAATCAATAAGTTTTTGTTAATATATATCAATTGCTTAATGTTATATCTGGCACTCTTTAAAAACACTATTCATTTAACGCTCATAAAACCTTGTGAATTTGGGATTATTAATCCCATTTTATTTTATTTTTTAATCTTTATTTATTTTTGAGAGAGAGAGACAGAGTGTGAGTGGGGGAGGAATTGAGAGAGGGAGAAGCAGAATCCAAAGCAGGCTCCAGGCTCTGAGCTATCAGCACAGAGGCTGATACAGGGCTTGAACTCACGAACCACGAGATCATGACCTGAGCTGAAGTTGGACACTTAACCTGAGCCACTCAGGCACCCCATATTAACCCCATTTTATAGATGAGAAAACAACGTTCAAATATGCCAAGTTATTATTGGTAGACCCAGGATTCTTAAGTTTTCAAGTTCCTCAATCTTGAATATTTTTACCAAATATTCTTGTGAAAATACATTCTTTTTTTTTTTATGTTTATTTATTTTTGAGAGAGAGAGTGCGCAAAAGTGGGGGAGGGACAGAGAGAGGAGGAAACACAGAGCTGTCAGCGCAGAGCCCAACCCAGAACTCAAACCCACGAAGTGTGAGATCATGACCTAAGCTGAAGTCAGACATTTAACCAGTTGAGCCATTCAGGCGCCCCTGAAAATACATTCTTTTTTTTTTTTTTTCAACGTTTATTTATTTTTGGGACAGAGAGAGACAGAGCATGAACGGGGGAGGGGCGAGAGAGAGGGAGACACAGAATCGGAAACAGGCTCCAGTCTCTGAGCCATCAGCCCAGAGCCCGACGCGGGGCTCGAACTCACGGACCGTGAGATGAAAATACATTCTTAATTAAGCAGTTCTCATTAATAGGTTTATTTACTTAGAACACTATAAATATATCGTAAATCCCCAGAGTAGCTCTCTAAGGATTTATTAATTTTATTTTCTACATATGCAGGTAGATCAGTATTTATTTTCATCACTATCAAGTAATTTTCATAATGTAAACATAGAAAATTAATTTGTCCATCATTTGTTGTTAATAGTAAACTTTTTTGTAAGAAGATTGAAAGACTTTTTGATCCTGAGTACTTGAACCCAGATTCTCGGAATAATGCAGCGACATTATACAGGTATGGTGATGTGTTTTTCCTTGATATTCTGTACAGTGCAGCTAAATTCTTTAATTTTACTACATTTAAAATTTTTCTCCTTGGATATTTTTGTATGTTCTTTGTGTTATAGATGCTGTTTGTGTAAGAAACTTTTAACAAAAGAAACAGAAAGAAGAATTCCTTGCATTCCTGGAAAAATCAATGTGGATCAACATGGAAATATTATCTACATTCACATAAGGTGCAGTAACAATAAAATATAGCTTTTAAATGTGAATTACTAGTGTTTGTCTAAAAACATTAACTAGTATTATAAGGCATAGGATAACATTTTTCTCTGAATGTAATCCAACTTTGACTTAGAAAGATGCTACTTTCGGGGTGCCTTGGTGGTTCAGTTGGTTAAGCATCCAACTTTGGCTCAGGTCATGATCTCACGATTCGTGAATTTGAACCCCACATTGGGCTGTGTGCTGACAGCTCAGAGCCTGGATCCTGCTTCAAATTGTGTCTCTCTGTCCCTCCCCTGCTTGCACTCTGTCTCTGTCTATCAAAAATACATAAACATTTGGGGCGCCTGGGTGGCTCAGTCGGTTCAGTGTCCGACTTCAACTCAGGTCGTGATCTCACAGTTCATGAGTTGGAGCCCCATGTCGGGCTCTGTGCTGACAGCTCAGAGCCTGGAGCCTGCTTCCGATTCTGTGTCTCCCTCTCTGTCTGCCCCTCCCCTGTTCATGCTCTGTCTCTCAAAAAGTGAGTAAACGTTAACAACAACAAAAAAAATACATAAACATTTTTTAAAAATTTAAAAAAAGATGCTACTTTCAAAACAAAGTTTTGCAAAAGTTTTATTTTATTTACTAAGTAAATTTCATGATTTTTTAAACTTTAAAATAGTAAAAATTATTCCACATTAATCTTGAAAGATATTCTGGTCACTGTCATTAAAAATTATTTCCCTAACAGATTTTATTTATACAAATGTTATATTGATTTTGACAGAGAACCAAATTTACTTTCAGGTAAATTTTGGTGAATGAGGAAATTGTCTTTAAAATTGAATTTTCCATAATCTATTTATTCTTCATACTTTGTCAGTATTTCATTAGTTACGTAGTCTTTTCTTATTCCCCTTTAGGTTCAAAACTAGTTCTCATTATCAGTTGGGGGGAGAGTGTTGCAAATTGGTATAATATCTCAGAAAAGCAAAAATTCTGAAATGTATGTATTTTCTAAAAATATCTTCCTGCTAGGAATTTCTCCAAAGAGGTAATGTTAGATTTGTGAAAGCACTCAACATTTATCGCTATATTGTTTAAATAGAAAAAAAGGGAAACATCCAAATGATTAAGTGAATTAAAATATATCCATGTAGTAGTATATCTATATGTAACATATCTAATCCATTCTCAATGTGCAACCTTTGAGAATAATGTTGTAAAAGAATGTGTACTTACGTAGCAAGTTGTTAGTCGTGAATTAAGTGGGGGGAAGAAAGTTCATAAAACTAGAAACATTTCGCCAAAGTGTAAACTGTGGTGTTACTTTTAAGTAATAATATTATGGATGCTTTTAATTTTGTTTGTTTTTTTCTTCTATGATAAAAATGTATAGCATTTTGTTCACTATAAATGTTAAATTGCATATTTTAAACATTAAAACAAATATAAATAAACACATATGACCCTAGTATTAATAGCATAGTCATGTTTATTTTATTTTTATTTTTTTAAGTTTATTTTTTTTAGTAATTTCTACACCCAACATAGGGCTTGAACTCATGGCCCCGAGATGAAGAGTTCCATGCACCTCCAACTGAGCCAGCCAGGCACCCTTTACAGTCATGTTTAAAATGTTTCATTTTTGTCTTCATATGATAATCAGGGAAATCTTCATTAGTTATTGTAAGCACCTAGGATGTTATACTTCTTTGTCTTAAGACTTGATTTCACCTTTTGGAAAGCACTTTCATTCTGACAGCAATAACTATTAATACTATTTGAAAAAAAATGATATTGACTTCAACATCCATTTTTGATTTATTTAAAGCATTTCCGTGCAACTTAGCTGTTGATATTTTTTCAGTTGTCTTTAATTAAAACAGATGTGCCTATGTAATTTGTAATAACATCATGACATCTTGTTATTTGTTGAACTAAGGACAAAAATAGCAAAAGTTCAAAAGATTAAGGGATTTGGGAAAAATAGGAACATGAGTTACATATGGACATAGCCAATAGGGTTTTAAGCCTTTGCTATTTTTTAAGTTTATAACTTAAAAATGTATGTTACTAAGACCTGATTATATATTACTACATTATTGAATTATTGGAGAATTCCTTTTGAAAATAATATAAATAATATATTAATGAAATGTTTAGAATCACCAATAATTAATAACAACTTATTCTATAATATGTACAATTAGAATAAAGGTTCTATTTAGCAACATGTGCCTAAGTCTCAACTATTAGTCTGCTCAAACTACATTTAACATAGCTTAGCAAAATAATTTGTATAGTTTAGCAAAATAATTTGGCGTTCAATCTTTTATATCTTTTTCTTGTGTCCACAGAAAAAGAGAATAAACAAACTCCAAATGAAATTTTATCTACTGTCAGTATAGTCCATCCCACAACCAACATTTGGGGAATGTTACTGGAAATAAGCCACAAATTTAAAAACATGTACTGAAAACAAATTGTTTATATTACTTGCTTGTAAAATAAGATAATAATTGAGGCTCTTTTCCCCAGGGATAAGACTTGGGATGTTCATGAGTATTTGAATAGTCTTTTTGAAGAATTAAAATCTTGGAGAGATGTATATTGGCGCTTGTGGGGAACAGTCAACTGGCTAACTTGTTCAAGATGTTATCAGGTGAGGTTTTTTGTTGTTTTTTTTTTTTCTTTTTAATATCTTGTTCTGTAAATATTCATAGCAGGCTCTCCCTTTTTTTTTTTTTTTTTTTTTTTTAAAGATTTTGTTTGTAAGTAATCTCTACATCCAACATGGGGCTTGAATTCACAACCCCAGGATCAGGCATTGCATACTCTACTGACTGAGCCAACCAGGCACCCCGCATAGCAGGCTCTTTTAATACAGGATGTTTAACTAGTAGTATGTTTGGATGTGTTTCGACAATATCTGACATCTTTTTAAAGAAACTAGTGGCAAAAACGGTAACACTATTAAACATTCCTTCCATCTGGTTTCATCTCTCTTACTGTGTATCTTTGTCTTCCTTTTTACTTTCATTGCTGAAAGAATCAACACCTTGCCTAATTTTTAGAAAACCAACAGGTTTTAAGTGACCTAATCTGTTTTTTCGGTGGGAAAAAAACCAACAAAATCCTTACTACCTTTAGTTATTTTAAGCCAGACTTTCTCTGTTAGCCCATTAATTTCTTAAAAAATTCAGAAACACTTTGTAGATATGGTACTATTGATATGTGCTCTTTTTATTGTAGCTTATTGTAGTTGTGTTCCCAAAAAGGTTAAAAGATTTTGTTCATTTTTTAAAAATAAATGAAGTCTGTAATAAAACCACAAGAAGCTTACTATATGAAGGTACCTGTAATAAATAATTTTATAAAATAAATAGATTTTAATAGGTCACAGTCATTCCTAATTAGTGTTAGGTATAAATCTAGAGTGTTCTACATAAAATTTTTTATAAATCCCTAATATCTCCTTTCCTCACTAATTTTCCTCTCTCACTTGAGTAATGATTTTTGGTAAATAGAAAGAAGAGCAGCTTATCAGAACCATCAGAGTGAGTTTTTTCAAACTGTGTAAGTTTCCACCCAGTGAACTCTAGTCCCCACAATTTTTTAATTGGATTTTTTTTAAGAGACAGCATGAGAAAAGGGGGAGGGGCAGAGGAAGAGGAAGAGAGAATCCTGAACAGGGATCAACCTCAATATCATGACCTGAGCCAAAATCAAGAGTTGGATGCTTAACCAACTGAGCCAACCAGGCGCCCCCATAGTAAATATTAAATATTATAACTCACTCTTCAATATGCTATAAAAAAGTGAACAAAATCCCTCACATTTTCTGTGTTCTAAATGCTAAATAAGTTAGATTTTAGAAGCCTGATAGCCTTTGATTATTAGTGATACTCCATTGTAGGGAAGACCACTACATACACCAGCCTGACAGTAAATACTGCTGGTGAGGGTGTGGAACAACTAGAACTCTTATACATAGCTGGTAGGAATGCAAAATGACTCAAGGACTTTGGGAAACTGTTAGGCATGGTAAATGTTAAACTTACATTAGCCACACAATCCAGCAATCCTACTTGTAGGTAATTACCCAAGAGAAATAAAAACCTATGTTCACATGAAAACCTGTATGGAAATGTTTATTATGGTGGCTTTTTTTTTTCATAATGGACCCAAAGTAGGACACTATAAAGTCCTTCATGGGTGGGTGGATAAACATACTGTGATGCATTTATACATCACAAAAAAGGAATAAACTGACACATAAAACAGTGTGCATAAATTTCAAATCCATTTTCTAAGTAAAAGAAGCCAGATTCAAAAAGCTAAATACAGTATGATTCTAGTTACATGACATTCCGGAAGAGCCAAAACTATAGAAACAGTAAACAGATTAGTGTTGCGTGAGGCTAGGGTGGAAGAAGGAACTCAAAAGGGGCCTAGGGGAGTTTCTAGGCTGATGGAAGTGGCTTAGGCTTTGACTGTGGTGGTAGTTATGTGACTAAATGCATTTGTCACACCTCATAAAAAGGATGAAGTTTACTGTATAAGGATAAATTTTACTATATGAATATTACACTTCAATAAATCCAATTAGGGGTGCCTGGGTGGTTCAGTCAGTTAAGTGTCCGACTCTTGATTTTGGCTCAGGTCGCAATCTCAGGGTCTTTAGATCAAGCCCTGCGTCAGGCTGTGGGCTGTGATGGAGCCTGCTTGATATTCTCTCTCTCAAAATAAGTAAACACTTAAAAATATATATATATATTACGGAGAGTTTATAAACCCATAAAATAGTTCATATGTAAAATATTTTGTGTATGTGCACCCTATAGCTTTAATCAGACTCCATATTTTTAAATTAAAAACCATTTGAAAATCATAATGGGAACTAACAGCAAAGACTTTTGAATATAGACTGATGAAGTTTTGGGGTGATGGTGGGGATCATGGGGCTTGGAGCTGATGGCCAAGAAAGAATTCTTGAAGATGTCTTTGGTGCAAAAAAGGTGACTTTATTAAAGCACAGGGACAGGACCCATGGGCAGGAAGAGCTGCATTGGGGTTGTGTAGAATGGCTGGTTATATACCATGGACTTGGGATAGGTAAAGTCAAAGAGAAGTTTCCAAAGAGACTTTCATATGCTTAAGACTTACTGGAGACCTAACTATTGTCAAGCTAAGGTTGTTTTTCCCTCTAGCAAAGCATTAACATTAAGACAGTAGGGGATGGGGCGCCTGGGTGGCGCAGTCGGTTAAGCGTCCGACTTCAGCCAGGTTACGATCTCGCGGTCCGTGAGTTCGAGCCCCGCGTCAGGCTCTGGGCTGATGGCTCGGAGCCTGGAGCCTGTTTCCGATTCTGTGTCTCCCTCTCTCTCTGCCCCTCCCCCGTTCATGCTCTGTCTCTCTCTGTCCCAAAAATAAATAAACATTGAAAAAAAAATTAAAAAAAAAAAAAAAAGACAGTAGGGGAGTTCCTGGACTTTAGGCTATTGAGGAGATTGCCTTTTTCTTGTGAACTGATGGAGACTCTTATTAGTTTAACTATTTGAAGGCTTTGTTTTTTTTTTTCCTTTCCTGTTTTTGGAAGTGTCCAGGAGATATCATACATGGCCCACCTTGAGGGAGTGTGCTGTTAGCCTGTATTTTGCTGTCAGCTTGCCCTGTGCTCCCTCATCATAGACTATCTTTTACTGCTCTTATGTTCAACATCAGTGCTTAAAATTGTTAATTTTTAAATTTTCTTTAAATTATTTTACGAACTTAAAACACATCTGAAAACTATTAATTTTATAATTAAACCTTGGTCAGTTTTTGACCAGTGATTCAGAATTGTTCCATAGTTTTCACTAATATTGGTGCTAAATATTTATCTTAAAAAATATGTCTAGGAATAATCAAGTGAGGCAAATTTTATTTCATTTTTTTCCTTGGAAAACTTTTTATGTGATTAGCCATTTATAAAATTAGATGTACATCGAGATCAACTTAATGCACCTGAATTTTGAATAAAGTATTTTTATTCTTGCTTTTTAATAGCTTTACTGAGGTATAATTACCTGTCATAAAATTAATTCATTTTAAATGTACAATTCAATGATTTTTAGTAAATTTACAGAGTTGTGTAACCATTACCACCATCCAATTTTAGTACATTTCCATCATTCCAGAAAGGTCTCTTGTGTCCATTTGCTGCCATTTCCCAGTCTATCTCCAACCCTAGGCAACCTCTAATCTACTTTGTATCTCTAAAGATTTGTTTTTCTGTACATATTATGTAAATGGAATATACATTATGTGTCTTAAGTATAAATTTTTTGAGATGTATAATTTCATTGTGGGAGTAATCATTGCTTTTATATATTTCTTTTTTCAGGCTTTTCTCTGTATAGAATTTTCACATTGTCAGTATCACTCAGAAACAGTGGTTTATCCAACTGCAGCAAGTTCACTGAGTACTGTTGGCACTGGTATTTATCCCTGTTGTAACCAAAAGGTTCTTCGGTTTGATCCCACTCAGCTAACAAAGGTAAATTTTGTTTTTTGTTGTTTTGGGGTTTTTTAGATTTTATCTATTTATTTATTTATTTTAATTTTTAAGTTTATTTATTTATTTTGAGAGAGAGGGATGGAGAGAGTGCGTGGGAGGAGCAGGGAGAGAGGGAGAGAGAATCCCAAGCAGGCTCTGCGCTATCAGCCCAGAGCCTGATACAGGGCTTGAACCCATGAACTGAGATCATGACCCAAAAGTGTAGTATAAAGTACAAAGTTATAAAGGTGATACATTCCTGTAGGAAAGACTTTAAAGAATACAAAAAATAAGTATAGTAAAAAGTAGGAGACCCTCTTTACACCACTTCCTTGTTCTGCATCTTGTCTTAGAGGTAACCAGTTAACAGTTTCCTTTCAGACATTTTATACATTTCAGACACAAATTATATGCAATGTTTTGGTATTGGAAATCTGATCATACTATTCATACTATTCTACCCTTTTAGATCAACAGTATACTTAGGTTATCTTTCATTTTCTTTTACTGCAGTTTAATATCCTAAGCCGTGCATATATCACAATTTATTTAACCATCCTCCTGTCAATCAACATTTAGATTATTTCCAGATTGATGGTATTACAGTGTTGTAATGAACATCCTTGCACATATATCTTGGTACAATATGTGAGTGTTGCTGTAGGTTAGAGTCCTTGATCCGTACCACTTTTGAAAAGGTTATATAATTAGATTTCATAAATGGGGGGGAAAGAATCTAAAGCTCTTCCTCCTCCTTCTCTTCCTCATCCATACAGCAGTTATTTATAAAGCACCAAAGCTGTTTCACACACTGTGCAAGTCAGAGAATAATCTAATTTCTGTAAAATTAGATTGTTTCCGCTTTCGTGGAGCTTTTAGTTCATACAGTACTATCAAAAGGAAAAAAAAAAGCATGCAAGGAAATGTTTGAAGAAGTACACAGGGCCGTAAATATCTATAATAGGCTGGTCTGATGTGGGCATTCAAGTCAAGGAGTTGGCATTCAGTTGAGATCTGAAGAATGGATAGGAGTATATGAGGCAAAGAGGAAAAGAAAGAGCATTCTAATCTGAATACCAAAGCCAAAAGGAACACAGTGAATGAGAGAGACTGAAAGAAACTGCCTTTTGTAGAAAACATATAGTTTGAGAAAAAGTTGGCAGGGTGTATAGGCCCTGCAGGGCCAGGACCTTGTAGGCCCTGTTACAGTTTTTTCTTTATTTTGTATTTTGAAAATCACTTACAGTGTGGATGGAGAGTGGCTTGGGAATAGTAAGTGCAGTCAGGTACAAGAGGAAGTTACCGTGGTAGTCTTAGAGAGAGATGATAGTTTGGCCTAGGGTCGTAGAGATGAATTCAGTATTTAGGAAGTAAAACTGAAATGGCCTGGTGGATTATACCACAGAGGAAGAAGGAGTCGAGGATAACTCAGTTTCTTGCTTGTGCTCCTGGGTGGTGGTAGTGCTGTCTACTGACGAGGAAACAAGAAGGGAATCTGGTTTGGAGAGAAGCTCATGAGTTCTGCTTTGGACAGTCTGAGATTGAGGTGTCTAACAAAGAGTGTTAGATGCATGGGTCTTAGGGCTCAGAGAATTGGCTACCTGGAGGTGATAATTTTAAGTCTCTTTGCAAATAAGTAAGAATTGAAACCAGCAGGTATGGGTAAGCATAAGAAGAGCAGATAGCCTAAGGCAGAGCCCAGAGAAACTCCCAGAGTTTAATGGCTGGATAGAGAAGTGTGAGCCTGCAAACGAAAGTGATCAGGAGCAGCTGGAATAATAGGAGGAAAACCAAGGATGTTGTCGTGAAAGTCAAGGGAGTAGTATTTAAAGAAAGAAAAAGTGGACCATGATGCCAAATACTGCCAAATACTGATAGAATGATGAAAGATATGTGTCCTTTGGCTTTGGTAACCTGGAATTCATAAGTGTGACAATCTGTTTTGTCAAAGTGCTAGATCCCAAAGCCAGATTGGTAAGGGTTGCAGAGTGAGTGAGTGGAAGAAGAACAAATGTGCACAATGTGAATAGCAACTCTTTTGGGAAATTTGAAAAAGGTAGAAAGTAAGTCAGTATTATGTTATAGATATTTGTTTATTGTTTCTGCTTTATTTTGTTTTGATAGGAGAGACCTTTTTATTTTTTTATTTTTATTTATTTATTTTTTTAAACGTTTATTTCTGAGAGAGAGAGACAGAGCATGAATGGGGGAGGGGCAGAGAGAGAGAGGGAGACACAGAATCTGAAGCAGGCTCCAGGCTCTGAGCCATCAGCCCAGAGCCCGATGCGGGGCTTGAACTCACAGACCGTGAGATCGTGACTTGAGCTGAAGTCGGACGCTTAACCGACTGAGCCACCCAGGTGCCCCAGGAGACACCTTTTTAAAAGGCAGTGGGAAGGATCCAGTTGAGGAAGAGAGGTTGGTAAGTATAAGGCCATGAGGACACAGGGTAGGGTGGGATCATAAGCACATGTGGCAATCTCAATTTAGACAGGAGGAAGGGCAGTTCCTCTGTTGTAACAGTAGAGTAGAATGGTTGCAGCTTTAGTAAAATTGTGTTTTTGTCATTTAGATAAATTTTTCCAATCTAATGCCTTTCCTGTTCTCTATATAGTAGGGGGTAAAGCCATCTGCTAATAATAAGGGAAAAGGGAAGGTTTGAAGTAGTCTTTTTGGAAAACATGAGAGTGAATTTTCCAGAGAAAGGTTGTAGGTTAGTAAGCAGTTTGAGAGCCCCTGGGAGATTGGTAATCATAAATTTACAATGAAACCCAACATGTCTTTTATGTCACTCTCTCTAGCACCCCTAAGCTGGTTGAGTGCAAACATGGAGAAAATGGGTAGTTGAGTTCGTCCAGAATTGGGGTTTTGCCGGATGGGTATGATTAGATTTACTGCCAAGGAATTTGGGTTATTAGCAAATTTAAGCTCAGTGGCAAATTTAAGCTCAGTGGCAAATTTAAATTTAACAGGAGATTAGATACAACTGGAAGATAAAAGTCAGAAGAAACTATCCAGAATGAAGCACAGAGAGACAAAATGATGAGAAATCTAAAAGTAAGAAACCTAGAGAGTGCATGTCATTTTTTAAATTGTGGTAAAATAAACATAAAAATTTCCATCTAAACTGTTTTTCAAGTGTACGGCCCAGTAGTATTAAGTATATTCACACTGTTGTACAACCAGTCTCCAGAACTCTTTCGTCTTGCAAAAACTGACATTCTATAGCCAATCAACATTCTCCATTCCCCCTCCCCTCAGTGCCTGGCAACTCCCATTCTGTTTTTTGTCTCTACAAATTTGAATTCTCTAAGTACCTCATATAGTAGTATTCTACACTATTTATCTTTTTATGTAAGAAGCACTAATTTCTTAATGGGGTTCCCAATAGAAATAAAAAGAGAATGTATTAGAGGCAAAATTTGAAGAGATAACGGCTGAGATACTTCAGAATTATTGGAAGATTTTAATTTATAGATTCAAGAATTCCAGGGGTGCCTGGGTGGCTCAGTTGGTTGAGTGTTGGACTCTTGATTTTGGCTCAGGTCATGATCCCAGGGTTGTGGGATTGAACCCCACATTGGGCTTCACATTGAGCATGGAGTGTGCTTAAGATTCTCTCTCTCTCCCTCTGCCCTTCTCCCCTGCTCTCTCTCTTTAAAAAGTAAAATAAATCAAAAAATGAAAAGAATTCCAGTGATTCCCTTTAATGGAATTGTTGAAGCACTATATTGTACACTTAAAACTAATATAACACTGTGTGTTAACTAACTGGAATTAAAAACAAAAAAATAATTCCAGTGACTTCCAGTAAAAATAGTAGGAAATCCATACCTGCACATATCAGAGTGAAACTGCAGACAACAAAAGAAAACATTTAAAAGCAGCCAGATGGAAAAAGTAGAATCCCTTCAAAACATCAATAATGAGAGTTCACATCTCAAAATGGTGTCAGTGGAAGCCAGAGTATAGTTCCTTCAGTCTTTGGTATACCAAAAGAAATAGTTAACATTCTAGAAATCTGTGCCTTCCTTAAATACCCTTCGAGAGTGAAGACAAAATAAAAACATTTTTAGGCAAAGAAAAATTGAAGGAATTTTCAACCAACGAATTGCTTTAAAGGAGATACTAATGATGTTCTCAAGATACAGGTAGGAATGAAGACCAAAGAAAAAAATTGGTATATTGGTAAATCTAAATGAACATTGACTATATTAAGCAATGATGGTAACACTTTATGTGTGTGTGTGTATGTTTGTAATAAATATAGGATTATATAAGTAAAATAGAAAATTTAAAATAATCGACACATACTCTAGATTTTAATGTATAATTTTAAAACCCACAACAATAGCCTGTAGATTAGAAGGATGTTAAAGTGGAGGTCTGACAGTTTAAAAGGTCTTGCATTGTTTAAGAGAAGAGGTATTAATGGAGTGCCTGGGTGGCTTAGTCAGTTGAGCATCTGACTTCGACTCAGGTCATGATCTCATAGCTTGTGAGTTCGAGCCCCGTGTCAGGCTCTGTGCTGACAGCTCAGAGCCTGGAGCCTGCTTCAGATTCTGTCTCTCTCTCTCTCTCTGCCCCTCCTCTGCTCATGCTCTGTCTCTTTGTCTCTCAAAAATAATAAACATTAAAAGAAAAATTAAAAAAAAAAACAGGAGGTATTAACAAATTAGACTTTGATAAGTCAAGGATATGTGTTATAAGTTCTAGGATAACCACTAAAAGGATAAAAGAATGTATAACTTCCAAATTAATGTATATAAAGGGAATGAGAGGAATGATTTAAAAAAAAAATCTTAGCAAATTTAGAAATAAAAGGGAAATAACACAATCCAATAAAGAATAGATAATACACAACTTAAAACAAATGTCACACTTAATAGTGAAATGTAGAAAAGTTTTCCTTTGAAATTAGGAGTAAGATAAGGGTGCGCATTGTTACAACAGTTCTATTCAAATTGAACTGGAGGTCCTAGACAGTATAGTAATGCAAGAAAAAAAAAAAAGTGTAAGGATCAAAAAGGAACTGTCATAATTTGCAGATCACATTGTGAACATAGAAAATCCTGAAGAATCTTCAGATAAATTATTAGAATTAATAGGAATTTAAGATTGATCTGTTAAACATCATTTACAAAAACCAATTTTATTTCTATAAACCAAGCAATGTTAGAAGATCAAATTTATAAAAAGAAACCATTTACAGTAGTCTCAAAAAATCAGGTACCTAGGATTAAATCTAATAGAATATGTGCAAGAACTCTATACAGAAAACATAAAACACTAATGAGAGAAAATGAAACTAAAAAATGGATTGTCATACCACATTCATAGATTGGAAAACTCAGTATTGTAAAGATGTAAATGTTCCCCAAACTGGTCTATTTAGATCAATGTAATCTCAATAAAAATACTAACAGATTTTTATTGGGAACTTTGCTAAACTGATTGTAATGTCTGTGGAAATGAAGAGGGCCAAGGATAACCAAGATACTCTCAAAGAACCAAAGGTAGAAGTGCTTGCTCTGCCCAACATGAAGATTTATTACAAAGCCATTAGGGTGATACTGGCAAAGAGTAGACAGACCAGTAGAAGAGAGTACTCACAGCCACTTGGATACTTGACTATGACAGAGGTGGCAGTATAGAGCAGTAGGCAAAGGGTAGACTTTTTAGTAAGAGGTCCTGGAACATTGGTATATCCATTTGGGGAAAAAAATGGAAATGGAATCTATCCCAAACTACTCACAAAAAAAGATCTATATGTGAAAGGAGAACTAATAAAGCTATTAAAAGATAATACCATAAAAAATCTTATTTTTTATTTTAGAGTGAGCAGGGGAGAGGGGCAGAGAGAGAGAAAGTCTTAAGCAGGCTCCATGCTCAGTGTATGGAGCCCAAGACAGGGGTCGATCCCATGACCTTGGGATCATGACCTGAGCTGAAATCAAGAGGTGGATGCTCAACCAACTGAGTCACCCACACATCCATTATTTAGTTTTTTTAAGTAAACTCTACCCCCCAATATGGAGTGCAAACTCACAAATCCAAGATCAAGAGTTGGATGCTCTAATGAATGAGCCAGCCAGGAGTCCCAAGAAAGAGATTTTTAAATTCCAGTACATCACCTACATTAAATAAACTTCAATAGACAAAGTCATAGGTAGGACCAGATATTAGCAACATATCCATAAAAGGTTCATATTAAGATGTTTTTAGCTCATACAAATCAATAAGAAAACAGTGTTTTAACTTTTTTATGTTTATTTATTTTTGAGACAGAGCGTGAGCAGGGGAGGGGCAGAGAGAGAGGGAGACACAGAATCAGAAGTAGGCTCTAGGCTCTGAGCTGTCAGCACAGAGCCCGACATGAGGCTCGAACTCACAAGCTGTGAGATCATGACCTGAGCTGAAGTCGGACACTTAACCGACTGAGCCACCCAGGCACCCCACAATAAGAAAACAATAATAGGAATGTCACACAAGAAGGCATTTCGCTGGGGAAAAAAGACATTTAGCTGTCTTGTAACCACGAAAAGGAGTTCAACCTCATTTGTAATTGAGGAAATGCAAATTAAAACCACAATGAGATACTACTACATGCTCACCAGAATGACTAAGATTAAAATGCCTTACCAAGTGTTAGTATATAGAGTAATAACACTCATATACTTCTGAGAGTAATATAATTTGGTACACATGAGCACTTTTACACCAGGAAATGTAAAAGATTGTTCATAACAGTTTTATTTGTAATAGCTCCAAACTGGAAACAACCCATCCATCAACTGTAGAATAGATAAGCAAATTGTGAATTTGTATACAATGGAATAGTATACGTTAAAACAAATGTTATTGTTACATACAATAATGTGGTTGACTCATAAAGACATAATGTTAAACAAAACAAGTGAGGTAAAAGTATAGCTAAGTTTAGGGATGCATCCTTTAGTGGTAAAAGGATAAAAACAAGGAAGTGAGTACCATAAAAGTCAGGATAAAGATTATCTTTTGGGAGAAAGGAGGCAGTTACAGTCAGGAATGAGCCCATAGGAATTCCAAAAGTGTTGGTAATATTCTAGTTTTTTTTAATATATGTGTGTGTGTGTGTGTGTATACACTTATAGATATATAAGTTTATTTATTTTGAGAGAGAGAGAGAGAGAGGGAGAGAGAGAGAGAGAATCCCTAGCAGGCTCCCATGTGGGACTTAAACTCACGAACTGTGAGATCATGACCTGAGCCAAAATCAAGAGTCAGATGCTCAACCAACTGAGCCACCCAGGCACCCCAGCAATATTCTGTTTCTTAATGTGAATGAATGTTGGTTACATGAATATTCCTGACTGTTTGTTAAGGTGTACATTTATATTTCATGCTCTTTTCTGTATGAGCACAGTTAACCCTTGAACAACATGGGTGAATAGCATGGATCCACTTATACGTTGATTTTTTTTTTGATAAGTACAGTATAGTACCATAAATATTTTTTCTTCCTTTTGATTTTCTTTCCTTAGCTTGCCTTATTTTAAGAATACAGTATATAATACATATAACACACAATATGTGTTGATCAGCTGTTTATCAGTAAGGTTTCCAGTCAATAGTAGTCTTAGTAGTTAAGTTTTGGGGAGCCAAAAGTTACGTGGATTTTTGACTATGCACCCCTAACCCTTCATTATACAGGAATCAACTGCCTTATTTTTTTCTTGAGAAAAAGTTATAAAATGGTTAATATGACAATATGGCTGGGCAAAGAAAAACAAAAACATACAATCATCTTTAAAGGAATATTTCTATTACAAACCAACCTCTCTAATGTAGTATCTCTTACATGACAGGGTTGTAAAGTGAAGGACCACATAGTTGCTCTTCATGATCAAAGTGAAGGCGGAGATTTGCTGTCGTGTCCAACCACTAGAATACTGGACGATCTGCACAAACACAAAGATGTCATTGTTGTGCCTTTTTCTAAAGATACAGTTAGGTGAGGTGGGGGTGGGGGGACGCGCTGCAGCGCTTTATTCAGTGCTTCCCATTTCAGAATCCTCGTGCCTCCCCAAACCAATAATGGCAGTCCCCACATAGCTTACGTTATTCCAGAAAGCTTACTGAAATTATATGTCAGCTTGCAGTAAGAGCAAGCAGGTGTTTATTTGATAGAAAAAATATGGGAGGTCCAAGGGAAAGAAAAACTAATAAAAAGAGTCTTTGGTGATTGAAAGGTTGGGACCTGCAATTCAGTTTTTGAGGGTTTTTTTTTCTTTTTCGAAGTCACTTAAGCCCTTTTTAAATCCTTGATTGATACAACTAGAAAAAAAATGATTAAGGTTTTCTTTGCATAAATTTGAACTCCTTGATTTAATAATTTCTGAAGTCACTTCTATCATTTTGCAATTGCAGTAAGCTGTCAGGTTGGGGGTAGGGGGACCCTTTCCTGAAGGCTATTCTCATAAAAGTACCAGTCTTAGCAGCCCATTTGACTACCTGGCAAGTAGGATGCTTGGAATGCAGTAGTGCCTCCCCTGTATGGAGTGCCTTCTGCTAGGGGAAATCACTGGAGGAATTAAGAAATGGAAATGTTGAGGTGGCATGCCTTATACTCAAGAACTATATTTCTAAAGAAAATTTATAAAACATTTGCAATAAAAATAGACATCATTTGCATTTAACTTCTTCTGAAATTGGACTTTTCTCCCTAAAATCTCTTTTTCTTTCAAGTGATTCTGGGGTTGGTCCCTGTGATGAAAAGGGTCTAGACTGTGATGTTTTATTGGAGCCAAATACACCATGGGGCCCCAAAAGTGGGGAGCTCAATGCTGTGAGTAGCTTGTTTCACTTATTCTTTTTTGATAGGAACAATTGGTGACATTTAATCTTTGACAGAAATGTGATGGGTTTAAACTGAAATTGACATTTTCAATTAATAAACATTTACTGACTATCTGATCATAACAAATGCTGAGTTAGTAGGACTGTAAGGGTAATAGGACATGTTCCTTGCCCTCAACTAATAATTAATCAACTTCAGTTTGGGGAAAAAAATATAACATGTTCTTCAGAGGTTTTATTATGAACAAGTAATGATTTGAGGATTGAAGATAGTGTGAATGGGATATTTTGTCCCCTCCTAATTCTGTAAACATTTTTGGTATGAAATTTTTTTTTAATTGAAATCAGGAATGCATTTAGTTTTTGCGGGGTTTCAAAACTGAAATATTTTTCAGGTGGCCAGATAGCTTTAATTCCTTTGATTCTGACAACCGGGGAATCTCTATTTGCCCATGAACTTCCTCACTTTGTATTGGCTGAGGTATCATTTACTTGACAAAGTGAAATATTCTATGTAAAATGTATTGTCAACTCCAAATGGCTACAAATATTCAATCATTATCATTCTTTAATTATGTACAATATAGCAAATGAGGTTTTTTGAATATCCATATATAATTTGGTTCTTGAATCTATAATAAAATGTAAACATTAAAAAGTGATTGAAATAGTTCAAAAATTAAATCATATTATCTCTGCCTGTGGTTTACTTATCCTTTGGAAATGATACTGGGAAGTGTTGATTTTCCTTTTTGTTTTTTTGTTTTGTTTTTAATGCTTATTTATTTTGAGAGAGAGTGAGTAAGAAAGGGTTCGGAGACAGGGCAGAGACAGTGAGAGACAGAGTATCCAAAGTGGGCTCTGCACTGACAGTAGAGAGCCCATTGCAGGGCTTGAACTCACGAACCGTGAGATCACGACCCCAGCTAAAGTTGGATGTTTAACCAGCTGAGCCACCCAGGTGCCCCAGAAGTGTTGATTTTCTTTTTCTTTCTTTCTTTCTTTTTTTTAATGTTTGTTTATTTTGAGCGAGTGAGTGAGCATGAGCAGAGAGAGGGAGTAGAGGGAGAGTGAACAGAAAGAGAGGGGAAGAGAGAATCCCAAGCAGGCTCCATGCTGTCAGCACAGAGCCCAATGCAGGGCTTGATCTCACAAACTGTGAGATCATGACCTAAGCCGAAATCAAAACTCAAACACTTAAGACTGAGCAAACCCAGGTGCCCCGATTTTCTTTTTCTTTCTTTTCTTTTTATAAACATATACATCTTTTTCTAGACAGCCGTTATAAAAACCTTGTAAAACATCATTTTCAGCCTGAGTTTTAAGTTGTTTCAACCTGGAAAGGAACTATACTTGCAGCTTTTTTCAACTCTTACAGTATCCACATGAAAATAAGGAGCTGCAATCTGGGTAGATACAAATTTATTAATCTCTCATTCCTTTGTCTTATAGTTTTTGTCACTGAAAAACTGGACTCTGCAACTGGTAAGTAAGCAACTATACTTTACTTTCATAGATCTCTTTCTTCCAAAACTAAAGTTTAGTTTAATAGAATCTTACCAGTATCTTATTTTACAGACTTTAGTTCAATGCAGTTATCTTTTTCAGCTTCTGTAATTTTGTACTTACTAAAAATGCCATTGTTTAAAACAGACATATACTCCATAAGTCTCTTTAATGGCTTTTTTGAAGTCACTTTTAAGTCACATTAGGTCATAGAACAAAGCAACAAATGTATTAAATTCCAGGTATTTGGTGGTTTGATTGACACGTTGGTTGATTTTTTTTTTCTTACCTCTTTGCCATCACCCCACCATGTGCCACCAATATTCAGAAGAATGGAAATGGAATTTGGATCAGTGATGACAGAAAGCAGGGTGGGTAGATGCAGGAAGCTGATGCAGATATGGTTGAGTAATCCAAGGCCACGTTTATCCAGGGAATGTGTACATATGGTTGCTTATGGGACTACTTTAATACTAGCAATTATTATATTTTAATGTAATCCTAATATCAAGGAACATGCATTCAGTTAGGTGATAGAGGTATAGTTTGACAAATGCTGATGACCTATTATGGGCCCAACACTCTACTAGAATATGCGAAGGAAATAAATAAAAGATATTTAATGTAATGTGATCCTCTCCTAAATGTAGAACTTCTTATGGCCATTTCCTGAATGTTGTATTAGGTGTTGGTCATTTTATTAGCTCTTGTTTGACTCATTAAATTTAGATAAATTTGAAAGCGTCCATTAGAGATATATTAATATGTTTTTAAAAGGGTGTGTGTGTGTGTGTTTTTTTTTTTTTAATTCAGAAACAACAATCATTATTTTCGGAAGAAGAAGAATATACCACTGGATCTGAGGTCACTGAAGATGAAGTTGGAGATGAAGAAGAAATATCCAAGAAACAAAGTACTGATTTCTAAGATAAAATCAAGTCTCACTTTTATGAAGGGGTTGCATTCTAAAGGCTCTAATGCAAGGGATGATGAATTAGCTTTGTAAGTCTACATGGTAGGTTACAACATGGAAAAAAAATAAATAAAGGAGGCTTCATCAAGATTCTCTAACCCTGGCACTAACACAGAATAATCACAAAGTTATTTAAAAAGTGCAGTGTACTGAGAATCCTCCAAGTTTTCATTTCAAGTGTAACCTAAGGGGTTTCTCAAAATGTATGACTTATATCAGTGTACCAGAGATGATTTGAAGTGACACTGTTCGAGCCCCACATCAGGCTTTGTGCTGACAGCTCAGAGCCTGGAGCCTGCTTCAGAATCTGTCTCCCTCTCTGTCTGCCCCTCCCCCATTCACGCTCTGTCTGTCTGTCTCTCTCTCTCTCTCAAAAAATAAACATGATAACAAAAAAAATTTTTTTGAAGTGACCTCAAATGAAGCACCAGAGTATGATTTTTAAAAAACTAAAAACATGATTTTATACAACTACAGAATGAACTTGTGTCAACATTTTTCAACTCATTAGTGAGAGAAACAGCCGAAGTTGGTTCAGAGAACATTTGAAGGCTTGGGTATTTATAGACACTTGAAAAAGAATGTTAAAAAGGATTGCAAGTTAGCGGCAAAACTGATTGATGTTCTACTAGGCAGTAACTGATAACCTTTGAGGTTATCTTTTCTTCTAAAAAAGAATCATTTGCATTTCTATTAGACACAAAAATCTGCAAGTTAACCTAAGACTTCATGTCCTCTGGGCCTTCAATAACAGTAAATAGGAAAGACACAAGGACATTTTCTTTGAGAATTAAGTAATTCTTACATGGGCCTTTTTTTTTTAATATAATTATTGTCAAATTAGCTTACATACAACACCCAGTGCTCATCCCAACAAGTGCAATATTACACTATTGCAATATTACAATATTCCATTGTGTGAGTGTATCACCCATTGTGTGAGTATATCACCTCCTCAATGGCCGTCACCCATTTTCCCTCCCCTCCACCCCCTCCACCCCCTCCACCCCC